ACCATGTTGCTAACAGAACCTCACCACCAACAGAACCACACTGCTAATAGGACCAACTGCAGATGTAATTCTTTTCACTTCTGGCGCCTTGTTTTTTTATTTTTGTCGCATGCTTTGTTATTTTTTGTTGTTGTTTTTTTGGTGAATCGAGACAGTTCTTCTCATTCTTAGCATTTGTGTTGACCTGCATATGACAAATAAACCAAACCTAACCCTGTGTGGTGTAACCCTTAATTAGATAAGATAGCATGCTGTACTTTATTGCGTCTGAACACTTGTTTATACGCCGGAGGAAGGCTCTGAAACTGAATGACTCATAATAAATTAAAGAATCAGTCACTTAGTGGGCCTGTTGGCAAAACACTGACATACTCTGTGAGAAGTAAACACAATTAGTTATGATGCACATTATAAAATAAAGTGATATGTGTTGTCATCATTCTATACAATGGTGAACTTAGTTCTCTGCATTTAACTCATCACACATGAGATACGCCCAGGTGGAGCAGTGGGCAGCTATGTAAGCACCATTAGGGATTAGGTGTCTTGCTCAGAGACACCACGACATGAGTTACAGATAAAAAGTCAAAAGTTTCTGCAATCGTGGATTTTTTTATTCAAAGCACATCTAGGATAAAGGTTAAAAAAAGAAGCATGTTGTTGTCACCCACCACCAAAAGGCGAAGGCGGACAATGTTTTTGCCAGTGTTTTGAGTCTATCTGTAACTAACTTGCTGTAAGCAATTATTGGATGTGCATCTGCAGCTGATTAATATTAACCTTTAAAGCCAGTCTGATTCGAGATGGCTGCCACAGCCAAGTGAGCTTAAAAAAAGTCTAAAATGGCTATAATTCAATCATTAGTCCAGCAGTGAGACAATTTTGCATCTATTGACCTTAGATGGTGGTAGCAGTCGTTGAGACTGACACTCACTGCATATTCTGAGCTCTAACAGACTGCTCAAGCTCTTTGCTTAAAATATTGTCATTAAGTATTCAGTCATCTCTGTCTGTCTGTTAACAAAATCTCTTATGAAGCACTGAGCAAAACTTTCAGGAAACAAACATTGAATGCAACCCTAGAATTGATTACCTTTTGGAGTCAAGCCAATTCAAAATGGCTGCCACAGGTAATACACCTAAGCCTATAAATGGCTATAACTAAATCAGTTTTCCAGATATTAAGCTAAAATGTAGTCCAGTACTAGCTACGAGTCATTCACAATGCACATTCTTGTGCAACACAGTGTGAGAATGTGCAGAACGTTGCTTCTCAACACAAGACGATCTAAAATTTTGGCATGAAAAGTGTAGGACAATATGCATTCCCTGCTAGGACTTCGATTTTATTGTTTTGAATGTTTCCAGCTCAAATTCCTAAAATTTAAATTTTACAATCAATAGTTTACAAGTTGTTGCAACTATTTGCATATATGGATTCATGTTTTCATCCTTGATATTTAAAAGTTCACCATGTTAGAGTGTTAGAGTGAAAAGTCAAAATGCTTTGAACTGAGAGCTGTTTTGTTAACTTAGCAATTTTTATTTTCGCATAAGCAGCCCCTTTCTGATGCCAAGTTAATGATCAGCCCCACCACAGTTCATGTGTTGGGAGCACGTGGGCGTATATGTGTTTGTGTATTAATGGTTGACAACAGAATGCCAGATTATGTAACCCTGATCAGCAAATAATCTTCGCTGCAGATTGCGTCGTTGAGATGAATCCAAGGTGTGCGTTTGGACTGGCGTGTTTGGACATGGACTGGGTCAGAGGTCATGGGGGGAAAAGTGTAGGTTTGACCATCTGACCTAAAAGTGAATTTTAAATGTAGAAATACAAACAGTAATGAAATGATTGTCCCCTAACGACATAAACTGGTTGTGTTTTTTATGATGAAGACAAAGATTTAGGATTAATCTTTGTTATTCTTCTCCATTCATACAGCTGCTGATATATCCCTGCTGCAACTGACAGTCAAACACACACAAAACCTCTCTGCTTCTAATTTCACTGAGTGTGTCTTTTTACTGAATGCAACACTCTGAGCTTAATCTATTTATTAGCCCCTGTAAGTCTCTAAAACCCAAACTGGTCAGACGGGACTTCTAGTTTGACTATTTCCATGATTACAAGGAATTGTGCACCTTCTTATTGGTGCCAAAGATTCAATGAGACAGACTGACCGACTGTCACATTTGTTCAGTTTTCAGTATTTTTTATGATTTTTATTTAAGGTGAGTAAAAACGACTAACTTCATTTAAAATCTCCAACGCAGCACAGTGGCTGAAGGTGTGTGTGTTTGCTGCTTGTGAATCAGTGGGTTGTCTGGGCCCTCACTTCATTAAATGTGATGCAGAAAAAGAATGGTTTCCATGGCAGCAGAGAAATATAAGGTCAGTAGAGGCATGACTCAGCAGAACTGTTGCTAACGGATAAATGGATTCAAAAGCTATAAAGTTTTCTGTTGCTTCTAGTCAGAGCCTAATGATCTATTCCTCAAAGTGTTTTGGGGTTTGGGTCTTGCCACATTTAGTTATAGGACAGTCCAAGATTTTTTTTTTTTTTTTTTTACTGTTTGCAGCGTTTTATTTTATTTTTTTCCAAAAAGTAAAGTTAGTTTTACCTTCATCTACCTGCATTTGTGTCCTCTTGTCCACACCACCTCATGAGCCAAATGTTTTATTGCACATTTTTCCAAATAAATCACAGATGATTACCATAAAACTGGTTTCCAGGACAAAACACATGGATGACTTTGTACTGCCCAAACTTTTTTTGTGGCAACTTTAAATTTAAAAAAAAGTTATTTTAGGTTAAAAAATTGTTGCACATAAGGGTTAAAAAGTTGGTTTCACACCCATCCATCCAGCCATTAAATTTACGCAGTTCTTCCTTTTTGGGTCGTGGGGGTCACTGGTGCACAAATCCAGCAGTCACTGTGAGAGAGGCGGGGGACACCCTGGACAGGTCACAAGTCCATCACAGGGCCACTTTAGGAAATATGTTTGGTTTCTGAATGACCAAATTGTGGTAATGTTTAAAAAAAAGTTTTGCTGAATGCATGAAACTTTGTAATATTTGACTACGTTAATCGTTCCCCTCTTTCAAGTAAACAGAAAGAACGGAAGCACATCCAAGTAATAGCAAAGGCCTTACATGGGCTTCCTGTTTATTTAATCTTTGTTAATGTTCAGTCAGACATTTCTGCTTAAATCTAAACCACTGAATAATGCACAGGTGTAACATTATGGTCACTGTCTGGCAAGTACAATGAGTAAAGACACGCTCATCTTTTGGTATGAATTCTGACTCTGCAGTCACACTAATGTTTTTTGTTTGTTTTATGCACTTTTTTTCCCAATTTAAATACTTTTGAATACTTAATCATAATCATTTATCAAAATGTTCAGCTCTTTCGGTTGAGTACAATGACTTTTGACTTTTCTCATTTTTATAATTATTTTCAAATGTTTTAACGCTATTAACATATATTTTCCCTTCAGAAGTACTTTGAGATCTTTTTGATTTCTTCAAAACATTGTTCTCTTTAAAATATGGTTCAGCATACTTTCTTTAGTATGTCTTTAAATGTTGCATTTAGTTTTTAGCCACCATTTTGCAACTATTAGGTTTTAGCTATCCCTTTCTTATTTTTAGAATATATACTTTTGATACTTTTTCATTTAGGTTATCTTTTGTTACTATTGGTATTTAGCTAACAATCTGCTATGTTAGTTAGCTTTCTGAATTATTTTAGTTTCTAGTTAGCTTTTTAATAATTTTAGCTGCCATTTTGCTACTTTTAGCTAGACTTTTAATTCTTTTCAAGGTTCAAGTTTCTTTATTTGTCATTCTACCCTGTGGTACATGTGATGGAACTAAACTGTGTACACAGGGTCCCAGTTACATACAACAAAAGTATTAAAGTGTAAAAGAAAAACAGTAATAAGATCTAGAATATGAACTAAGAAAAACGTTTACTAATAACACATTAAGCACGAGTAGCATAACAACAGTACGCCGAACAGCAGCACGGACATGAGTCTGTGTGAGCAGATGAGTGTGTTCAGTTCAGTTTTACCTTTAAGTTTCCATTTTGCTGCTTTTAGCTTGCAGTTTCCTATATTTAACTTTAAAGTAGCTTTTTGATACTTTTAGCTGCTACCATTTGGCTCTAAATTTTTTAGCTCTCTTTTTGCTACTTTTAGCTTTAAGCTAGACTTTTGCTACCTTTAGCTTTAAAGCAGTATTTTGCTAATTTTAGCTAGCACTTTGCTTTGTTTTCAAGCTTTCAGATTGTGCTTTTCTATTTTTAGCTATTAAGTAATTTTCTACTTCTTTAAGATTTAACATTTTCGTTTGAGCTTTTTCAACAGAACTCAGCAGTCATGTAGCATTGTCAGAGAAAATGTAAACTCTCTAGCTGTGTTGATAATGTTACGTTGAGAAAAGCTGCACCCCGACAATCACATGGAGACTCACCAACTTGAAAACCAGTGACACTCATCCACATCTCAATAACGCACCTGCTTCAGCCAGAACCCAATCAGAACCCCCTCTGATTGGTTCCTTCTGAGGTTTTACCACCTTCTTAAAGTTCAGAGCCGTTTTAGTGACAAAGCCAAACAGAATCATCATGAGGTCAGCTGATGGGCAGAAACTAAGCTACTGCATGGTTTCTGCTTCTGGTTGCTTGTTCCTTTTTTGAAGGAAAACAGCTGCTACAGTGCAGACTACTTGTGTCCTGCAGAGAAGGAAAAGGGCAACTCAAGTAAAGTCTTGAGCTGCTTAAGGAATTGTAAACCTCCTCACCTGTTTTTAAGGCAAATATGAGGTCATCAAACTCCTGCGACTCCTCGTCTGCTGTGACCATGTTGGTATTTATGAAGCTCCCCTCTGTGGCGTACGTCTCCATCACAGGACTGGGCTTGAACACACTGGTGGGCTGAATACTGGTCCGAAGTGATGCTTGCTCCCAGTGTGCAGAAATCTGAAAGTCAGCAAATGCACCAAACATACAAGCACCATTAACTAAGATGTCTACAAAACTTATTCAAAGAGGTTTCATCTTTTTTCATGACTATCATCGATGAAACAATTAATATACTTAATCAGACATAATTTTAATTTTTTTTTAAGGAAAAAACGCAGCTTTGAGAGAAAATAAAAGTGAACCTTAACTTTAATGTGATGCTATGTTGTGTGGCGTGCAAATAGATAGTGCACCAATGATGGTGTCATTCCAAGAATTCGCCCCGTCTGTCAAGCTTGTAGTTATGACTGCGATGAGCCGGGGTCAGGCAGAGTGCATGCTGGGTCAGAGTGCGTTCACATAGTGAGGGAGGTCAGTGGGTTAGGGTTTCATATTGAATTCTCCTCACATCATACAAGCATGCTTCTGGCACAGTTAGGGAAATTACATAATTTTATTTGGTGTTTTAAACTAATGCATCAATTCTGCCAAAAGGAGGAAAAGAAAAGAGGTGAAGAAAAGATGGCAGGCAGTGAAGTTCAAATGAATCATTATTTTTCTCTGCGTTCTGTATGAATGCCTCATATGTTCATGTATATTAGTCTCTCACTACTTCGCATTTCGCTTTTCACGGACTTGCTCTATCATGGTTTTTCAAAGTAAGATCGGACATGACACACAACAGCTGACTGATGGATTAGCTGCACGATCGGCATGGATTTTTTAATTCAAAATAAATTATTTTAAACGATTTAACACCAGGGGCAGCACGGTGGCGAAACTGGTAGAGCTGCTGCCTCTCAGCGAGCAGGTCCCTGATTCAAATCCCGGTCCGGGGACCCTTCTGGGTGGAGTTTTCATGTTCTCTCCGTGCATGCGTGGGTTTTCTCCGGGTACTCCAGTTTCCTCCCACAAACCAAAAACATGCATGTTAGGCTGATTGGTAACTCTAAATTGTCCCAAGGTATGAGTGAGAGAGTGAATGGTTGTTTGTCTCGTTTGTCTCTATGTGTCCCTGTGATGGACTTGCGACCCGTCCAGGGTGTACCCCGCCCCTCGCACAGTGATTGCTGGACATGGGCACTGGCGACCCCCGTGACCCAAAATGGAAGAAGCGGGTAAAAGATAATGGATGGATGAATGGATTTAACACCAGTGTGCAGCCCACAGCAATGGGAGAAGTGCTCATCAGCTGATGTCCGTGCAAAGCGGGGAAGTGGGCGTGGCCGAGCGTGCAGCCAGTGGCAGAGAGGTGAAATCATGACATGCTGTGCTCTTTTAGAGTGTTTAGAGTGAGTTTATAAACATTGATTAGAATATTACAAGAGTGTGGGAAGGGTTTTAAATAAATATATATATTAATACTAAAATAAACTACTACTTACTACTTGACTACTACTTTGTATTTCTATTTCGTGGTTTTTCACTTATCGTGGGACTTCAGGGTACGGATCCTCCGCGATAAACGAGGGACTACTGTACATGAATTAATGTGTTTGTACGAGTGTGTTAAGCCTCACTGGGTGGGCTGTGACCGGTACATACCGTCCCGGTGAGATGAATTAAGCACCACCAGGCACCTCACACTGAGTCTCATCCACTTTGATAAGACGTGATAAGCCGGTCCACTCTCAGGTTAAATTTTCACTCGTTTTGATTCCTCATTATTGGTTTTCCTACAAATCTAATTGAAACAAACACATACTGTCTATTCTAGATATCTCTACCTATATTATTGTTTTAAACCCTGCTGCAGTTGAAAGGGGTGTGCTCTCATGAATAAAACAGGATTAGGAGGATGACGAGAGATGAAGATGGAAGAAGAGAAAGAGGGGGAAGAGTTCCCAAGAGTTAAACCATCCCAATTCTTTCCTCCCATCCATCCCTCCTTACAAGGTATTCTCCAGGGAAAAAAGTTGCTGGAGAGTTACTAAGTACTGTGTGAATGTGTATGCACAATCTGTGTGCACGTAACCCCCCTGCAATGTGCCAGTTTGATACAAGAGCTGCATGAAGAGTTGATATGGATGTTAGTGGGAAATCTTTCAAATGTTTTAAGGGAATTGTGCTCAACTGATGTGAACAAATGTGAGACGAGAAGCCAGAAATGGACAAACTGGGCAATGAGGGCATGGGAAAAAATGAGAGGAGAGCAGAGATGGAAAAAACAACCATGAGAGAGAGTAAAGCAACAAAACAGTATCCTTTTTTTCTTCTGAATTTAATCATTTAAGCTTTGGACAGTTTTAATTTCTAATGAAATGTTATATTTCAGTAATAAAGTAAACATTTAATTTGGGAAAAAAAATATTAGGGATGCACAATATTATCGGTGCGGTATTGGTATCGGACGATTTTGGTGTTAAAGTTAAATATCAGATATCGGCCACTCCATCAAAAAATAACTCACCGATATAAAACGTGTTGCCTTTATACTCACCCCCCCCCCCCCCCACACACACACACACACATATATATATATATATATATATTTTTTTTTTTTCTGTATAAGAACAACACCTTTTTTGTTGTTTTGGGTTTATAAGACAGACACTACAGAATAAACAAAAATTGTATGTCCAACCTACTGCTAGCTATTTAAATTAAAGTTTATCTGTAATGTCTGCAATATTTATGTCATGTTCATTAGGGTTGTGTCTGTTTTAACAATATGTTCAGAAATAAAATATATATAAAAAAAATATTAAAACATGCTGGTCTTAGTAAAAACAGTGAAGAAAAACAATGAGCTCTTTGGAACCCATGTTTGTTTAAAGTAACATTTATTTAAAGTAAATCTGAAACAAGTAGCTCTTTGCTTTTTGTTTTAAATGTTTCTTTACTATGTTAACTGATTCTTTCTTTATTTATAAAATTAGTTTTTATGCATCGCACTGGTTGAACAATAAATGTCTATGCCGAGTCAAATCATCTAAATGAAAACTGCATTTTTATTTTTCATTGAAGAGAAAATTTATGTTTGGGTCACAATTTTCATGTTGTTTTGGGTTTTTTTTTGCATCCTGAAGAAGGTAGAAAAAAATGTGACAGATTTGTTTTAAAGCTCATAGTAAGTTTTGTGCGAGTACCTCTTCCATTGCACTGATGAGATTCTGTGTTGATTTGCTGATATCGCCTCCTATCGAAGTGGGCCCTCCTCCTGGGTAGGTCACATCAGGACCATCGTGGCCATTCATCTCCACTGTGTAGCTTGCTTTGGTGGGCCAACACACCTGGTTGTGCATGATAAAGTACACAACAAATACATACAAGCCCTGCAAGAAAGAAAGAAAGAAAGAAAGAAAGAAAGAAACATAATTTTTGAGGTTTAGTCTCTTTGTAAACACAGAACTCTCCTTCACCAGCACTTCTTGGTTTTCAGCATCTTTCACCAAAATCACTGACGGATGACGTCATCACCTGGCCATGATGTCATTGGTATTTCTGTCGCCCCACATTTCCTCATCATTACCCAATCTTTTCAGTCAACAACATCAGGCTGTGAATTACCCCAAAACACCGGACTGCCAAATGTCACAAGGCTGTCCAGCATTTCACAACACTCATCAGCAGGTGATGATGGTCGCAGACAGGGATGGAATGCACAAGAGAGAAAAACACACATTTGTAATTTACACACAAATACTGGACTAACTAACAAAGACAAATAACATTAAGCTCCTCTAAATGGTTTTGAGCAACCTTTATTGTTATTTAATTATAAAAATAAAAAAAAAGATTATATCTCTGGGCATTTTGTTTTCGAAGATGGCAGTCAATCAATTCTACCTGTGAGGTTATGTATGCCATTAAAAATTACAAGATCAAAGTGTTCCCTGCAAAGTCGTCCACATTACCCACATTTCCTGAAATGCACTGATAGGAACAAAGATTTAAAACGGTGTGTATCGTCACAATCAACATTACCAGGAACAGGGACCATAAGTAGAAGCTGCGTGTTTATGAGTACATAGTAAAACTGCAGCATCCGCAGACGGAAGCGAGGCTGCAAGCAGATGCAAAACACATGCAACACCTTTGCTACAAAGTCTGCTGCTCTCCAAAGATGGGACTCACAAAAACAGACATTACACACATCTGTAGTAACTAAATATATACACTATCCTGGTAGATGAGTTGAAAAATGACAACTTCAGGGAGAAGCAACAGGTCAGGAGTAGCTGTGTATTATTGCACTGTTGTGGCTTTTCTTAGTATTTTTTTGCATATTTAATCAAAAGGAGAAAGTTACCTTTATGTGAACTCATAAAACAAAAGCAGCCACATGTGTACCAACATCTGTGTGTGCATGTTTCTATCTTTATCTGAGGGTGAGTTCTGTGGGCGATTACCACAGGTCATTAGCAAGCTGTGCAGCTGGAGAAACAAGCTTTACTGCTATAGGCTGGTTACATAAGTGTTCCCTGATCACTGGAGACGCAGAGTAAAGCCCTGAGAAGAGTGCTGAGGACAGAGAAGGTGATAAGGGAGTACAGAAATATAGGTACAGAAACATTTGTAGTCAATAATGTGAATTAAATAGATAAATATATATTGGATATCAGGAGTCGCAAAATCAGTAGTCATACAATAAAGTTAGGGAGAAGGACTATTAGCCATGTATTTTAAAAATGTTTGTTTTATTTATCTCCATCTATGCTGTTGTAAATAAATGCCCTATGCCTTTCTGTTATAGGGTGTTAAAGATTATACTTCTATAATTTAAGTTTTTTTTGTGAATAACTGCAGCACACAACATGAAAACAATGGTAAAAAGTATTATGTATTATAAATATGACATGGTGAGTTAGGTTTAATTAAAAAAAAGTAGAAGTTTGAAGTTAGACAACATTACTTCCCTTTTTTTTTTTTCTTGTCCTGTCCGGCATTGTAACACTTAGAATTATTGTCTGAATGTCAAAGTGACGCCCAACAGATTTACTTTCTCAAGCAGAGCATTATGGCTGGCCTTAATGCTCCACTTGATATATAAATTAAATTTTATTAGAATTTGCTTTGGGTTTGTTTCAGATGTAATGGACATGGGGATGAAAAACAAAGAAGATAACAAAGCAGAAAAGTGAGAGAAGGGTTAAAATGTAAAGAAGGAGATAGGAATAGAGGAGAGAGAGAGGGATAAAGAGAACACAAATCAACATCATTGAAGTCTGCCTCTAGACCTGCGGAAAGAAAAAAAAAAACAAGACAAAAACCGAGAAACCACAACAACAAACAACATATATAATTCACTCAACCTTTATTTAGACAGGTTAATCCCATTGAGCCTTGAGGACTCATTTACAAGAGAGACCTGATTTCAACAAAGAATGATGACAACATGACAACAATAGACAGTTCTAAAAAGTCATGCAGATTTTTTTAATGATTTATTTATAATGATACTTATAACATCATTAGAAAGTATTTTATGCAGTACATGGTAATGCAAGATATATTTAGTGGTCTCCACAACCCAATTGAGTGTGTATCTGATAAACACCTGAATCTAAACACCTGTGTGAGCATGCTTATCACTTTTTTTTTTTCATTTAGCCTTTATTCATCCAGGTAGTCTCATTGAGACACGAGAACTCATTTTCAAGAGAGACCTGTTTAGGGAGCAGATGGGGGTTAAGGGCTTTGCTAATGGGCCCAGGGTGGGGCGAATGAGGGTGGGGGCAAGTGTGGGTACTTCACCTACCCCACCCACATTTTTGATGTTGTCGGTACCGGGGCGTGAACCAGCGATCTTCCGATCACAGGCCCACCTTCTCTAACCTCTGAGCCACCACTCCCCCATAAGGTTTCTCCATAAAAATGTTCAATTGTGGATGTGGGGACCCACAGACCCATCCCCACAGGACACGATGGCAACACAGGGAAGACCAGAATCACAGACAAACAGCGGTCCCCAAGCCCGGAACTCCGGGAGTCCCTCAACACGGACACCCTTACCCCTTAGAGAGAGAAGCAAAGGGAAGCCCTGGGTGATCCCCAGCAACCACAATGCAGAAACCCCAGGAGGCTGCAGCGACGAGTCCACAGGCCCCGCTGGCAACCCTCCCCTCCAGAGTAGATCTGACCATGGATACCGAGCCCTGAGTCCCGAGGTCATACCAACCCACAACAGAGGCCAGACAGAGCCAGGGCACCCAGGCCCTGGCAGGCAGCCACCAGGGCGGGCCCGCACACACCCCACCACCCAGCCCCAGCTGCTGAGAGCTGCTGAGAGCCGCCAATGCACCGGCGGCAGGGGGCCCACCACTGGAGGGGAGCACGACAAGGGGAAGTTGACCCCACATTAAATGGGAGACCAAAATTGATCCAAGAGAGGGGACCACCTAAAACCCAACCCGAGACATAAAAAGGCACACAGAGACAGCCCGACAGAGCCTCTGTTGGGTCGTCCATGCGCCCCATCCACCCGACAGCAACCGCAAGCCGGCCCCAGGCCGGGGGCCAGAGCAGCAGGGAGCAGCAGCTGAGGAAGGCCGGCCCAGCGCACCAATGAACAGGCATCCCTACAGCCCCACACCACAGGCCCGGAGAGGCCCCGGCACGCCACCCATGCACCCCCCCCCCCAACACACAGCACTCCCCACCGTGAATGTCACATCAGGCCGACCAGCCAGCACCCTGTCAAAGCGAAGTCACGCCCCCGACCACTGCCATGCACCACCAACGACCACAAATACACAACCACAGCCGACCCCCCGCAAGCACCCGGCAGCCACCCCAGCCAAAGGGCTGGCTACTGCAACCAGGAACCCTGATCAACAGATCCAAACAACCCAGGGGGAACCGGAGCACCGGCCCCACCACCAATCGCCTCCCAAGGCCCAACACCCACCCAAAGCCCAGACCCCAACCAGGCAGCCTACCCCGCCTCCCTGCCCCCGACCCCAAATATCAAACGGAGAACGAGGGTTATTTCCTGAAAACACATTATTTTATTACAGGCTTACCGCTTCAGGAGTTTAAACCTTACTTTACATACAGTAGGTATGGACACGGTGTGTGTGTGCGTTTAGTTGAATATACATCTAAACATTATCTAAACCGTTTTATTAATGTGACAGATATTTTAAATAAATATGACTAAACATTTTAAAAACTAAGTCTGGTCTGCATATGTGCTGTAAACGAGCACCCTGTTGTCATTAATCATTTCTATATCAGAGTCAGAGTCAGAGTCAGAGTTTCTTTATTGTCATTTGCACCTCATGTGGTACATGTGGTGGAGCGAAATTATGTACACAAGGTCCCAGTTACATCCAACAATAAAATGTATAAGAAAAACAGTAATAACATCTAAGATATGAACTAAGAAAAACATCAACTAAATATACACTAAGCACTCATAACATAAAAACATTGAACATCAGCACAAACATGAACATGAGTCTGTGAGCAGATGTGCACGCATGAACACATCAACATTGAAACCGATCAGCAGCAACATGAAACAGATCAGCAGCAACATGATATGGTTTTTCACAGTGATTATTCTAGTTAGAGATTCATGAGTCTAACAGCCTCAGGGTAGAAGCTGTTCCTCAGTCTAGTGGTTCTACACTTAATGCTCCTTAACCTCCTTCCTGAGGGGAGTGGGGCAAAAAGTGTGTGTGCTGGGTGAGTGGGGTCCTTCATGATGCAGGTGGCCCTCTTCCTGCATCTGGAGGTGTAGATGTCTGTGATGGTGGGGAGACTGATTCCGACAGATTTCTGTGCAGCCTTCACCACTCTCTGCAAAGCTTTTCTTTCTGCAGCTGTGCAGCCTCCATGCCACACATTGATGCTCAGATATCAGATATCAGACTGTGTTTAATTTATTTACATTTGTTTAATATTTAATATTTAAACTTGTGAGCAGAAATGACCCTGTGACTACCAGTTACTGCTTTATATGGAAGAAACAATAAAAAATATTATCTTATATAAATATTGGCCAGTAGCCCTCACCCCGATAGTCGCTAAATGCTTTGAAAGACTGGTCATGACCCACAACATCAGTGAGGATCCACACCAGTACACATACAGCGAGAATCCATCAACAGAAGACACCATCTTCTTTGTGGTGTACGCTGCTCTCAACCACCTGTAGCAGAAGGACTCCTATGTTCGTACGCTCTTTGTGGACTTCACGTCTGCTTTCACCACCATGATTCCCCAGACCCTGATGGACAAGCTACTCACACTAGGAACAAGTCCCTCCATTTGCAACTGGGTCCTAGACTTCTTAACAAAAAGACCACAGTCTGTGAAGATCCACAAC